TTCCAAGTGTGCAGTCCTTCACCCCGAGCATCTGGAAGGCCAACGAATCCTCTTCACCCACCTCCATGGGGCTGACCAGGTCCTCCATCTCTTGCTTCAGCACTCGCCTGCCTCCTCCTCATCCTTGTCCTTCTTCCATTCGGTCTTCCAGAGAACAGTCAGTTCCAGCAGGACCACTTGTCTTGATGTTTCAGACACCAGGACCAGGTCTGGCCTGAGTGTGGTCACTGGGGGGTCTGATCAGCCCCGACTGGGTCGCCTGGGGGAGGCTGTATGATGCTGTTTGACCTGAAACACCCAATGACCCAGAACACACCACTGTGGATGTGTCTGAGAGCTGCAGCTGTCGTGGATGTTAAGAGTTAAAAATGCAGAATTAGACATTTTATGATCAAATTTGGTAAAATATTGTAAAAGAATGAATAACTGTTTACAAATATACATACAAAAAGTGACAACGCTATAAAAAAAATATATATATATTTACATGGCATTACTAGTTTAAAAAACTAGAATAATTGACAACAGGTGTAAAAAAAAATATTGTTAAGATAAGATTAGTGATTAGAAATTGTTGAAAAAAACAGTTAAAAACTGTAGTTTGAAAAAAAATCTACAATAATTGACAACAGGTGTGAAAAAAAAATGTAAAAAAAATGTCATGACAAGTTTACAAATTAGAAACTTAAATCTAAAATAAATGAATAACCACAAATTTTTGAAAAAGAAAACTGTTAAAACTGTAGTTTAGTGAATATATATATAGTCATGACAAGATTACAATTAGAAACTTAAATCTAAAAAAAATAAATAAATAAAAATAACCAGAAATTGTTGAAAAAGAAAAGCGTTAAAAATGTAGTTTAGTTAAAAAAAACAAACAAACAAAAAAACTACGATAACTGACAGCAGGTGTAAACTTGACATTATCATGATAAGATTAGTTATTATATACTTCAGTCTGGGACATCATGGAGGACTGGATTATAAACGTGGATTATATTTNCATCATGTGGACGTTTCAACTCTTCACCTCCAGCCTCCAAGTGTGTGAATGTCTGTCATGTTTAGTCTGAAGTGTGTGACAGCTCCAGACCATCAGGCTGTTTTCTTCTTTCTCTGAGTGTCGGTGTGAAGCTGCTCCGCCCAGCAGCAGGTACGACTCACCTGTGCAGCAGGTTCAGCAACAGGTGGAACCAGAAGTGTGCAGCAGCTCACGCCTAACGCTGCTCACCCCGAGGAGGGAAGGTTGAGCTGCTTTCTGGGTTTAAAGTCACGTTTTGTTGCATTTTTGTGGCCATGGATTGGAGTCTACATGCAAAAATGGAGCTTTTTTAGGCCTTAAATGGAGCTTTTTGACAAATCAGGTTGTGTTTTTACTGCTTCAGGATTCTTTTCTGCCTTGTGTTGATCAGTGGAAATGGGGAGCTCTGTTTTCTCAGCAGCTGGAGCTTCTTGCCTTCTTGTCGTCCTCCTGCTCTGCTGCTCTGGTGGGAGATGTGAGCTCCAGGAGCAGAAACCTTCATCCGGCAGCATCCCCACCGTCAACCCGCTCCACGATGACCTGAACCAGCCCCAGGCCTTCCCCGAGCCGGAGAGGGCCAACCTGCCCGTCTTCACCATGGACTACCCCCGCATCCAGGTGCCCTTCGAGTTCACGCTCTGGGTGCTGCTCGCCTCCTTCGCCAAGATCGGTATGTCTGGGAAAAAAGACAACGTTTTCACCTTCAATTACAGACAAAAAAAAGAGTAAAACTGCATAAAAAATTCATTAGTTTAGATGCTGACTGCTGAAAAAGACAGACAAACATTAAGTATATTATTGATAAAAAGGACTTTCTGGCGAATAATGACATAAATAAGTGACAAATGACACTAAGATGTTCTGTAAGAGATGGACATAACTTTTTTTTCAACATGTAGAAGAAATTTCAGCACTATTCATTTATTTTTGACAGATTTTTCTCCTTTTGTTAAATTACAGACAATAAAGAGCAAAATCATGCAGAAAAGTTTTCAGTTTCATGTTAAATTACAAAATTAAAAACTAGTAAAATCACAGCAAGAATCCACTAATTTACACGTTGACTGCTAAAAGAAAATACATTTTAAAAACTGGTCACATCAATTTGTTCATTTTCAATTGTAAAATTACACTTAAAAAAATATTTAAATCAGCAAAAACATGTTTATTTTTGCAGTTATTTGTTGTTATTTGAAAGACAAATTGTGTATATTAAGGACTTTCTGGCCGAAAATGAAAATAAATAAGTGACAAATGAAGGCATGACGTTGTGTTAGAGACATATGATGTAAATTATTTAACAAAAACAGTTGGAAAGTTATTTACCATATTTCAAAAAAAATTCCTTTCAATTAACAGCAAATATTCATAAAAAAAAAATTAATAAAAATATATATTCTGGTGATTTAAATACAGGAAAATTGGTTTAATGTTTATGATCAAATGTTGTAAAAGAACTAATTATTATTTGTAAAAATGTAATTTTTTTATGGGAACATTTTTTACTGTTTAAGTTAACATGTAAATTAATTTTACGTAAATGTAAATTAAAGATTTCTGGGGATTTTACCTGATTTTATCTGTTATTAAACAAAACAGGGGAACTCTAAAATAACACAAAAAATTATTAGGATTTTTTAAAAAACTTAAACATACAGAATTTTTCTTTCAATTAAGAGCAAATATTTGTAAAATTATTATATTTTTAATGATTTTAATACAGTTTCATTATTTGGTCAAAAAAAGTATATTTTCTGTAAAAAAAAAAACAAAAAAAACGATATTTTGTT